CTTACTGCTGAACTGTCACCCCTGTGCTTTACATACTGTTTGTCCATGTCAGTGGACGCCTCTTGGCCGCAGGGAGCTGCACTGCCTCCTCTACAGTTCCTGCTGAGGGCCTGCTCTCTCCCCCAACCCCCACCGTGTGTGTGTGTGTGTGTGTGTGTGTGTGTGTGTGAGATTTTCCTTTTGATACAGAACTTGTGACATAAAATGAGACATTCTGAGGCATAGTCCTCACCATCTGTCTCCAGAAAGTTCTGGCCCCATCAGATACTGTCCCCAAGCCCCTGGCACCTGCCACGTCCTCACCCCCACCCCACCTGCCACACACACACACACACACACACACACACTCTTCCTCTCTCTCTCTGGTTCTGATAACTGAAGGGATAGGGAGCTCCTAGGAGTGGGATCTGCGTTGTGTGTGCCTCTGTATGTGACGCGCATCATCATCCCAGAATTCAAGAGCACCAAGGCACATACGAGGGTGCTATCTGGAATCTGGAGCCAGGACTGTCCAACTGTTGACCCAGCCTGGCCCTGCCTTCCAGATGTCAGTCTCTAAACGAGCTCGGAAAGCCTCCAGCGACCTGGATCAGGCCAGTGTGTCCCCATCGGAAGAGGATTCCGAGAGCCCATCTGAGTCAGAGAAGACCAGCGACCAGGTGAGTGAACAACAGCCCCCAGGACAGCCTGGCCTGGCAGCCAGCACCCTGACACTCCTGTCTCTCCACTCAGGACTTTACCCCAGAGAAGAAGACAGTAGCCCGGGCACCACGGCGGGGTCCTCCAGGAGGACGCAAGAAGAAGGTAAAGTGCTGTGCCCAGGTCCCGAGGAGCCACTAGCATCCTAAGGGGCCTTCGATGGCAATGGTACTTGGGTACCCAGGTGCAGTGATGCCCCTGGGGCCTGTGGGTCACTGCTCCCAGGGGACCCCACTCACCAGGATTGGAAAATCAGGTCTTGTGTGCTGGAACGTTGTGGCATCAAAGGTCACATGTGCATGTCGGGGTGAGAGGACTTGTGTTCACAAGACTGCTTGTGCATGTGCAGATGTGTTCGTGTATCTGTGGCCGTGTGTGATGTGGATGGTGTATATTGTACTGTGGCATGCATGCGTGCGTGCGTGCGTGCGTGCTGTGGGGAACTGGACAGTACGAGGGAGGACGCAGACCTGGCCACCTATGCAGGTTTTCAGTGCACACCTGCCCTGGAAAATCCCTGGGCTTGGCCCTGATCCTGTCCCCAGGAGCTATCCAGGCTGTCCAGGACTCATGTTCTTGCTGTGGGTGAGGCATAGAACTGTGTCCTTTGGGGACTGCAGCTGCCTCTGCCCCATCACCTTCACTCTGTGCGACACCCCACTGGCTCTGCCTGTCCCCAGAAGGTGCCTGCAGCCTCAGATTCAGACTCCAAAGCCGACTCAGATGGGGCCAAGGAGGAGCTTGTGGCTGCAGCACGGCCGTCCCCATCCTCCTCCTCGTCCTCTTCATCCTCTTCCTCCGACTCAGATGTGTCTGTCAAAAAACCCCCTCGAGGCAGAAAGCCAGGTAAGGCCTGAGCCAGCCTCAGTGTAGCCCTGGGAAGCCATGGAGAGAAGGTCACCCCTCCTTTTTCGCAGCTGAGAAGCCACCCCCCAAGCCCCGAGGGCGGAGACCAAAGCCAGAACGGCCACCTTCCACCTCCAGCAGTGACAGGTGGGTGTCAGCTGGTGATGTGGGGGCTGTAAGGTATGCTGGGGTCCCCGCTGATGAACTTTTCATCCCAGTGACAGTGACAGTGGTGAGGTGGACCGCATCAGTGAGTGGAAGCGGCGTGATGAGGAGCGGAGGCGCGAGCTGGAGGCAAGGAGACGACGGGAGCAGGAGGAAGAACTCCGGCGACTGCGAGAGCAGGAGAGGGAGGAGAAGGAGCGCCGCAAGGAGCGGGCAGAGCGTGGAGGCAGCAGTGGGGAAGAGCTGGAGGATGACGAGCCTATGAAGAAGCGCAGCCGCAAGGCCCGGGGCCGGGGCACACCGTCCTCCTCTGACTCAGAACCCGAGGGGGAGCTTGGGAAAGAGGTGCGTGGTACCCCCTCTTCACCTGAGGCCCCAGGCGCTGGCCCTGGGCTCCACTCCTTTATTGAGCACCTACTGGGTACTGGGACCTATCCTGGGTATTGGAGATAGGGTGGTAACAGAGCCCAGGGTCCTGGCCATAGAAGATAGGGACAGCCAGTTGAGGGTCCTTCCAGAGTATAGGGCTTGCCTATTGCATTGATCCCTGGATTCCATACCTCTATGGAAGACCAGGGAAGCCATAGCCCACATGTGCTGGGTGGGGGTGGGACAGGCTGCCCCTAAGGCAGCAACCCTGTCCTCTGGCCGCTGTAGGGGAAGAAGTTGGCCAAGAAGTCCCAACAGCCAGGCTCAGAGTCTGCAAAGAAGCCCGGGCAGAAGGAGAAGAGAGGGCGGCCGGACGAGAAGCCACGAAACAGGTTAGCGCCTGTCCTGAGCCTTGGATCTAATCCCTCTCCCCTCGGCCCGGCTGTTGAGTTCAGCCTTAGAGCTGCATCCATCCTAGGGTTCCAGCTCTTAGGACTGCAGTCTCCCCTGGAGCCATGTGTGGCAGTCAGACTAGGAGCTCCTGGCCTGTAGTAGGTGGAGGCCAGCAGCACTGCCCAGCACCCTGCAGGGCCCAGGACCCAAAGAGCCATCCAACCAGTGTCCACAGCACCCAGGGGACAGCATACCCAGCACGGTGGCTTTAACTTTGAGCCTGCAAGTGGAGAGGTGCAGCTCATCTCTGCTCTCAAAGTGACCCAACTGTTTCTGATCAAAGCTGCCCGTGGGGACCAGAAGTGTGGCACAATGGCCACACAGCACGGGGTGTGATGTGCTGAGCTTCTCATGGTTAGCCTGGTGCACAGAAGCAGAGGAGGGCCCCAGGACCTGGCCTGGCTGGCTGTCCTCACCTAGGGCCTTTCAAGGTGGCCTGTCTGATGGGAGCCTCTTCATAGGCCTGTAAAGGTGGAGCGGACGCGGAAGCGGTCTGAAGGCCTCTCGCTGGACAGGAAGGGGGAGAGGAAGAAAGGTGAGCACTAGCATTGGTGCAGGGTTCCAAGGCCCTGGGTGCAGGCCTGTGGTGGTGGAAGGCTGGGCCACCTGGTAGCCCGGGCCAGAGCACCCTGCTCAAGCCCGTGTCTCCTGCCCAGAACCTTCTGTAGAGGAGAGACTGCAGAAGCTGCACAGCGAGATCAAATTTGCACTGAAGGTCGACAACCCAGTAAGATGCCTGCTGCGCAGCCCACAGGGTCACAGCCCCACGCTGTCCTGAGATGGGTGCTTTCCTTAGCCACCTCCTTTCAGGCTCCTTGGAAGTCTTGGGAAACTGAGGCAGGGTCCCCCAGGTTGGAGAGTGGTTTCATATTGCCTCAGGAAACTCCACCCCCACGCCCATACCCTACAATCTCCCCTGGGGACAGCAGGTGGCATCCTAGAAGTCAGCCAGAGCTGCTTTCCACTCTTCCTGCCTTGCAGGACGTGAGGAGGTGTCTGAACGCACTGGAAGAGCTGGGGACCCTGCAGGTGACCTCTCAGATCCTTCAGAAGAACACAGATGTGGTAGCCACACTGAAGAAGGTATGGCATGGGGCACTGGGGCAGAGCACCTGGAAGATGGTGGTCCAAGGGGAGAGCTTGGGGACACAGCCAGCGGCCCTGCTAAGATTAGCCTCCTGGTGGCTAGATTCGCCGGTACAAGGCCAACAAGGATGTGATGGCGAAGGCAGCAGAGGTCTACACCCGGCTCAAGTCACGGGTCCTGGGGCCAAAGGTTGAGGCTCTCCAGAAGGTGAACAAGGCTGGAGCCGAGAAGGAACGGGCTGACGGCGAGAAGGTGGAGGAGCAGCCAGGGGAGCAGGCTCCCAGAGAGCTGGTAGAGGATGAGCCCAGCACCGGTGAGGACTGCCTGTACCCGGCCAATTGGACAGGTCGAGACTGCATGTGTTCACCCCCAGCACGCTTACTAGACCCAACTACATTCTGGGATAGCTGGCATAGCTCCACTGGGTGCCAGCAGTTGGGTGTTAGCAGTGTTCTCTAGGCCACAGCACCTATATGCACCTACACTGTTTGTAAGTTCATGATGACCCTGTCACCCTAGATCTCTCAGCACCTGTGAATGGCGAGGCTGCATCCCAGAAGGGGGAGAGCACAGAAGACAGAGCACAGGAAGATGGGCAGGACTCAGAGGACGGCCCACGGGGCGGCTCCTCAGAAGAGCTGCATGAGTGAGTGTCCCTGGGGCATTAGGCACATTCCCTGCACGATGGAGCTCTCACCCCACCCCTACCACATCTTGAGGCCAGCCAGAACACTGATTGTGGCCATCAGGCTACCAGGCTTCCAGCTACTTGTGCTCTGGGAGGGGCTTCCTGCTGACTGTCCAGGGGTGGCCCTAGTATCCACCATGAGTACCTGCTACTGGACTGAGCTACGATTGGCCTGGGGAAGGTCAGGAAGGCCACACTAGACAGGTGCTGTCAGCAAGGAAGGACGTTACCCCTTTTTGGCTGCCCACCCACCCGATGGCCCTGTGGCAGCACCAGGTAACTGCATCCTGACCGACCTTCACTATGCTCCCAGCAGCCCTCGGGACAGCTCCGACCCCGCCAGGCCTGGGAGTGAGCATCAGGAGCATGAGAGGGTGCGGCTGGCCTCCGAGTCTGCTGATGATGACGAGGACAGCTGAGCTCCAGCCACCATGGCCATGGTGCCATGTCCGTCCCCAGCCTCCCAGGGAAGTGCTGCGCTGTTTGTATTTGTGGCCTGGGCCTTTCTGCCTAGTTCTGTGATTTCAATTGACATGAAATGGCTATAAAGGGTTTTATAATGAAAAAGAAACAGCTTTTATTGGCTTGGTGTTCTGATGTGAAATGCAGCTGGGCTAGGGCCAGGGCACTATGCCTGACATAGTGCTGAGGTACCAGCCACCATGAGCAGCATGGGGAGCCAGGCCTGGTACAGGGCAGGGTTCACATTTACAGGTCAGCAGAGCTCTTCCTGCAGTGAGTGGCCTGTTCCACCAGCATAAGTGGAGCAGACACTAAGGACAGGCCAACAGGAGAGACTCAGCCACCGTCCCATCCCCATCTATGCAGGGACCACCAGTTGAGACCAGCATAGTTGTTCTGGGGCAGCTCAGCATTTGGGCTGGAGTGTTATAGTCCACACTGTCCCAGCCTGCTCTCGCTGTGTGGCTTTGAGCAGTGGCTTTTCCACTCTGCTGTGTTCCCTGTGGGCTCAGTTTGGGTACATGCCTCCCAGTGTATCCCCCTGCCTCTGTGGCCACCAAGAACTGGACATGATGTAATGAGGCTCATCTCCTGGAGGACTTAGCTGCAGGCCATCAGTATTTGTCAATGGCTGAGTCAGTGTTCTGCTGACAGCAGAAGGGCTCAGGAAGGCTCCTTGCCATCTCCATCATGGCATTCCTATGTCACAGCTGGCCCAGCCTTGGAACTCAAGGACATTGTTACTTTCCAAGGGTGCAGATTAAAGGGAGCTGAAAGGTTGGGGGTTGCTAGCACTGCAGAGGTTCAAGGAGGGCTGTGCTGTGGCCTTGGATGATGTGGCCACAAGGGAGTGCCTTGGGCCCCATCACTTTCTATGCTTCTGACTTGAGTGCATAGGGTGAGGGAGAGGGGCCATCACCTGCCTGTGTCTCCTGTCAGTACAGCCTTCAACTCTGAGCAGGCCACATGCTTTGGCAGGCCACGTCCTTGGGCAGGCCACGTCCGTATCAGACCACAGTTGCTCAGAGCAGTGCTGGCCCTGTCAAGTCAGCCCTGTCTCCATTCAGTAATATGTTTGTGATCCTCCTTTTCCCAACAGAGCAGGTCTGAGGCCTACAGCATCCTGGGGTATAAGTGTGTGGCTTTGAGTGGTTCTGCCCCCCACTAGCTATCCGAAGAGGCTGTGGGAGCTTAGCTTAGGGTGGCTGTGCATTCTAGGACATTTTAGTGCCAGGGAACAAGTTGCCTAGTATGTCAGCTAAGAGCTCTGGATGCCCCAGTGTGGGGCTTGGGATGGAGTGACGCCATCCATAGTGGAGAGCCATGGGGCCCTGAAGGTAGGTAGGGTCAGAACCCCAAGGATGGAAGGCTTGCCAGTGGGTATGGCTAGAAGACCTTCTAGGTTTGGCTGTGCATCTGCTTTGCTCTGTCGTTGGGACCTGTGTGGACGCTCTCTGAACAGACTTGGTGACTAGTCTGGAAGAGGGGCCATCAGTTCTTGGAAAGAGCAGGAGCCATAGCTGGTTTCAAATTCACTTTCCGAGGACCCTCTGCTCCCACTTAATCCAGAGCTTTGGGGAAGTGCAGCCCTCAGATGCCTACAGCTGGCCACCAGGGGTCAAAGCAAACGGTCCCACTAGCCAGCCAAGTGGGGGGCTCTGCTGCAGCCTGTCCAGCAGCACCTCCAGACCCTGCCATGTCTGGACCACGCCGGCACTGCTCTGGGCCAGCTGCTCTGCCTGCAGCTTACCGCCACTCGAAGAGGACACAAGGCCATACAGCTTGCAGAGGCTGTGCCGTGCCAGCCCTGCCTGCTGCTGCACCTCTGGCAGACCCTGCAGGCTGGCTGCCAGGCCGCTGTAAGCTGCATGGAGCTGACGGGCTATCGTGCACAGCCTGTCCTGAGCCACGGAAGCACGAACCTGAAGAGAAGGAGCAAGGTAAGCAGGGTGGGGCATGCAGTAGGGCGCTGGGGTAGGGCTGTGTCACACGCACCTTATTGGTACCAGCAGCCTCCACCGTGGAGCTCAAGCTCTGGTCCCAGCACAGCTGCCCACCTGGAGCTTCCATGGCCATGTCTGTCTGGAAAGAGAGCCACAGAAGAGGTAGTGGCTCTAGTGGAGGTAGGGACACTCAGTGTTGTCCCTAGATCTTGAGTCTAAACCTCCTCCATACGTGGTGCAGCCAAAACACAAATTACCCATGAGGGCATCTGGAAGGCCAGGTGGTGGTCCCTGTGTCCATTTATCTCCCACCCCACTATTGCCCTCTGCATATACACACAGGTTCCCTTCTGTCCCCTGCCCATTATCACACTTTCCCCTGGGATCTGCTGCCCTACACCACACCATGGCTGCTTTGTCCCTCCCATATTCCCTGGGTGTCTACATGGCCAGGGATGGGGTGGGCAGATGAAAGGGATGTGTCCATAATGCCCAGCAGAATCCTGGAGACAGGACACTGGGTGAAGAACCCCTTGCTAGGGCCCTGTCACCCTCACCACCCTCTTCCCTTAGGTTCACAGATTCTAGCCACACACGCTGCTCACTAAATGAGGCTAGAACAACCATGCCCTAGCTTCCTCTGTATGCAGGTAGCTTAGCCCATTAGGTACTTGGTCAGTGAACAGTTGGAGGTATCCAGAGTGGGAACCAGAGATGCTCTTACCACCTGTAAGACCTCCTGGAGCTGGGCCAGTGCAGCCCTGGCTTGGAACTGGTTGTGCTGTATGTGGCTCAGGGCATGTTCAAAAGCCCGCGGGCGGAAGCTGGGTGTCAGGTCACCCAGGCGGACAAAGTAGCTTCCCCGGTCAGCAGATAGCACCCGGGGCCCTGACTCCAAGGCTGCCAGCTGGGCTGGAAGGAAGGCAGTGAGACTCAGTCTGAGAGATCCCTTGAGGCACTCATACTGGAGCTAAGGACCTCTAATGGGGAGGGACGGGCACTCACCTTGTTCCTCAGCTGTCATGGGCTGGAAGATGTCCCCTAGTCCCTCCAACTCATCATGAAGTGCAGCAAAGCTTATAGCAGCCAGCTGACCACACTCATCCTCAGACTTGGTAACTGTGTGGGCAGACGAAGCTACACCAGACACAGGATCTTTGGTGGCAGCTGTGGGTTCCGTGACAAGCCCCAAGCCACATGTGTCTGCAAGGCTGCTGATCTCAGAGCACAGGGACTCTGCAGAAGTCAGAGTAGCATGTTTGACTCCTTGGTTGGTGGCTCTGTAACTACCAGGCTCATAACACATGGTAGCATGAGAGCTGGAGAGTGAACTCGGGACTGTGTGGACACCTGTGTGGGTGGCATTGATGGCCACGTTATCTGCCGGAGACAGCATGGCAGACTGTGTGTCTTTGGTTGTGTCCAGGCCCTTCTGAATGACGCCTTTAGCCATGTTCATGGTCCCAGTGATCCCAGCACAGACGGTATCCTTCGTACCTGTAAGCACGCTCTTGCTGGTGTCCAGGCCCATCTGCACTGTCCCTTTGGCCACGTTCACAGCCCCCGTGAGTCCTGTGGTCACTGTGTCCTTGGTGCCCATGACCACAGACTTGGTGGTGTCCAGGCCTCCCTGGGCAGCCACTTTGGCCACATTCACGGCCCCTGTGAGTCCTGTGGTCATGGTGTCCTTGGTGCCCATGACCACAGACTTGGTGGTGTCCAGGCCTCCCTGGGCAGCTCCTTTTGCCATGTTAATGGCACCTGTGACCCCAGCACAAACAGTGTCCTTGGTGCCCATCAGCACACTCTTGCTGGTGTCCAGGCCCGTCTGCACTGTCCCTTTGGCCACATTCACGGCCCCTGTGAGTCCTGTGGTCACTGTGTCCTTGGTGCCCATGACCACAGACTTGGTGGTGTCCAGGCCTCCCTGGGCAGCCACTTTGGCCACATTCACGGCCCCTGTGAGTCCTGTGGTCACGGTGTCCTTGGTGCCCATCAGCACACTCTTGCTGGTGTCCAGGCCCATCTGCACTGTCCCTTTGGCCACATTCACGGCCCCTGTGAGTCCTGTGGTCACTGTGTCCTTGGTGCCCATGACCACAGACTTGGTGGTGTCCAGGCCTCCCTGGGCAGCCACTTTGGCCACATTCACGGCCCCTGTGAGTCCTGTGGTCACGGTGTCCTTGGTGCCCATCAGCACACTTTTGCTGGTGTCCAGGCCCATCTGCACTGTCCCTTTGGCCACATTCACGGCCCCTGTGAGTCCTGTGGCCACTGTGTCCTTGGTGCCTATGACCACAGACTTGGTGGTATCCAGGCCCGTCTGCACTGTCCCCTTGGCCACATTCATGGCCCCTGTGAGTCCTGTGGTCACTGTATCCTTGGTGCCCATCAGCACACTCTTGCTGGTGTCCAGGCCTGTCTGCACTGTCCCTTTGGCCACATTCATGGCCCCTGTGAGTCCTGTGGCCACTGTGTCCTTGGTGCCCATGACCACAGACTTGGTGGTGTCCAGGCCTCCCTGGACAGCCACTTTGGCCACATTCACGGCCCCTGTGAGTCCTGTGGCCACTGTATCCTTGGTGCCCATCAGCACACTCTTGCTGGTGTCCAGGCCCGTCTGCACTGTCCCTTTGGCCACATTCATGGCCCCTGTGAGTCCTGTGGCCACTGTGTCCTTGGTGCCCATGACCACAGACTTGGTGGTGTCCAGGCCTCCCTGGGCAGCCACTTTGGCCACATTCACGGCCCCTGTGAGTCCTGTGGTCACGGTGTCCTTGGTGCCCATCAGCACACTCTTGCTGGTGTCCAGGCCTGTCTGCACTGTCCCTTTGGCCACATTCATGGCCCCCGTGAGTCCTGTGGTCACTGTGTCCTTGGTGCCCATGACCACAGACTTGGTGGTGTCCAGGCCTCCCTGGGCAGCCACTTTGGCCACATTCACGGCCCCTGTGAGTCCTGTGGTCACTGTGTCCTTGGTGCCCATGACCACTGACTTGGTGGTATCCAGGCCCGTCTGCACTGTCCCTTTGGCCACATTCATGGCCCCTGTGAGTCCTGTGGCCACTGTGTCCTTGGTGCCCATCAGCACACTCTTGCTGGTGTCCAGGCTCGTCTGCACTGTCCCTTTGGCCACATTCACGGCCCCTGTGAGTCCTGTGGTCACTGTGTCCTTGGTGCCCATGACCACAGACTTGGTGGTGTCCAGGCCTCCCTGGGCAGCTCCTTTTGCCATGTTAACGGCACCTGTGACCCCAGCACAAACAGTGTCCTTGGTGCCCATCAGCATACTCTTGCTGGTGTCCAGGCTCGTCTGCACTGTCCCCTTGGCCACATTCACGGCCCCTGTGAGTCCTGTGGTCACTGTATCCTTGGTGCCCATCAGCACACTCTTGCTGGTGTCCAGGCCCATCTGCACTGTCCCCTTGGCCACATTCATGGCCCCTGTGAGTCCTGTGGCCACTGTGTCCTTGGTGCCCATGACCACAGACTTGGTGGTGTCCAGGCCTCCCTGGGCAGCTCCTTTTGCCATGTTAACGGCACCTGTGACCCCAGCACAAACAGTGTCCTTGGTGCCCATCAGCACACTCTTGCTGGTGTCCAGGCTCGTCTGCACTGTCCCCTTGGCCACATTCACGGCCCCTGTGAGTCCTGTGGTCACTGTGTCCTTGGTGCCCATGACCACTGACTTGGAGGTATCCAGGCCTGTCTGCACTGTCCCCTTGGCCACATTCATGGCCCCTGTGAGTCCTGTGGTCACTGTGTCCTTGGTGCCCATCAGCACACTCTTGCTGGTGTCCAGGCCCATCTGCACTGTCCCTTTGGCCACATTCACGGCCCCTGTGAGTCCTGTGGCCACTGTGTCCTTGGTGCCCATGACCACTGACTTGGTGGTATCCAGGCCTGTCTGCACTGTCCCTTTGGCCACATTCATGGCCCCTGTGAGTCCTGTGGCCACTGTGTCCTTGGTGCCCATCAGCACACTCTTGCTGGTGTCCAGGCTCGTCTGCACTGTCCCTTTGGCCACATTCACGGCCCCTGTGAGTCCTGTGGTCACTGTGTCCTTGGTGCCCATGACCACAGACTTGGTGGTGTCCAGGCCTCCCTGGGCAGCTCCTTTTGCCATGTTAACGGCACCTGTGACCCCAGCACAAACAGTGTCCTTGGTGCCCATCAGCACACTCTTGCTGGTGTCCAGGCTCGTCTGCACTGTCCCCTTGGCCACATTCACGGCCCCTGTGAGTCCTGTGGTCACTGTATCCTTGGTGCCCATCAGCACACTCTTGCTGGTGTCCAGGCCCATCTGCACTGTCCCCTTGGCCACATTCATGGCCCCTGTGAGTCCTGTGGCCACTGTGTCCTTGGTGCCCATGACCACAGACTTGGTGGTGTCCAGGCCTCCCTGGGCAGCCACTTTGGCCACATTCACGGCCCCTGTGAGCCCTGTGGTCACTGTGTCCTTGGTGCCCATCAGCACACTCTTGCTGGTGTCCAGGCCTGTCTGCACTGTCCCTTTGGCCACATTCATGGCCCCTGTGAGTCCTGTGGCCACTGTGTCCTTGGTGCCCATGACCACAGACTTGGTGGTATCCAGGCCCGTCTGCACTGTCCCCTTGGCCACATTCATGGCCCCTGTGAGTCCTGTGGTCACGGTGTCCTTGGTGCCCATCAGCACACTCTTGCTGGTATCCAGGCCCGTCTGCACTGTCCCTTTGGCCACATTCATGGCCCCTGTGAGTCCTGTGGCCACTGTGTCCTTGGTGCCCATGACCACTGACTTGGAGGTATCCAGGCCTGTCTGCACTGTCCCCTTGGCTACATTCACGGCTCCTGTGAGTCCTGTGGTCACTGTATCCTTGGTGCCCATCAGCACACTCTTGCTGGTGTCCAGGCCCGTCTGCACTGTCCCTTTGGCCACATTCATGGCCCCTGTGAGTCCTGTGGTCATGGTGTCCTTGGTGCCCATGACAACAGACTTGGTGGTGTCCAGGCCTCCCTGGACAAGACCTTTGGCCATACCTACTGCTCCCATGACGCCTCCAGACACTGCCTCCTTAGTGCCCACAAGGGCCGACTGGGTGACGCCCAGGCCACCCTGGACCATTCCTTTTGCAGTGTCCATGATGCCAGCCACCCCAGAGGAGAAGGCATCTTTGCCACCGCCGGTCACACCGAAGCTTCCCACGTCCTTTTCTCCAGCCATTGTCTAACAAGGACGTGCACAGGTCAGCACCTCACAAAAGTCCCTTAGGGTGACTTTGCTGTCCATCCCTTCTGTGCACCCAGGTCCCTGGGACCTCCCACCTACCTTAGCCAAGCACCCTAATGTCATCCAGCTGCAAGATAATGTCTGGGGACCCACTAAAAAGATCCTAGCACTTATCTTAAGGAAGATTGTCACAAGTCAGGGGCTGCCTGGCTACACTGTGAAACCCTGTCTCAAACAACACCTGAAATGCAAGTTGACAGAGACCCCATCGGTGTCCACTGGACTTTGGTATGTCTCACATTGTTGCCAAGGGCTCATGGGTCAGAGGTCACTGTTGTCACTTGGTTGTTGTTTGACACCGGTCTCATGTGACCCCAGAATTCACTATGTAGCTGAGGAGGACCTGCTGGGATGACAGATGTGCTGCCGCTGAGTGGCCCAGGGACTCTGAGCATGCCGGAGACACTGTAGCTGTCCCAACAGGGGAGGGTGGAGGCCCAGCCAGTGTGTGTCCCAGTGTCACCCTAGAGCCCAGTGGTCACCTCGCTTCTGCAGTGCCTGGGCTTGACTCCCCAGGTCTTCCCTGCACTTGTGTGATATCAGGCACAAATGGTGTCTCCCCTCCCCTCAGACCTGCAGCCCCTTAGAAAATACACTCCCCCCTTCTGGGGCTGACGCCACAGCTCATGGTGGAGCACACACGTGTCAACCCAGAATTGGGAGGATGAAGCAGGAGGGTCAGGTGCTCACGGGCAGACTCAGCTACAGAATAATGTACAGGTCAGCCTGGGCTACATGAGACCTTGTTTCAGATACAAAAACTCACTTCCTTCAAGGTCAGAAGAGTGGATGAAAGAAAGGGATTCAGTGGGTGCTTAATTGTTGCCAACATAGAGGGGCTGGCAGGCCTTGGCCGCCAGGGATGTGTTTTAATTTGAATCTACAGGATGTAACCCCGCCATTGCTGGCCCAGGTGGTGCTTAAGGCAGAGTCACGGAAGTGGGGTTGGGGTCTTCTACCTCAGTTTCTCTGCACCTGCCATGTGGTGGTGTGGGCCCCTGTCTCCTGAGGGGCCAGGGAGGGCTAACATTTAAGTAGGACTGTTAAGTTGGTGCTCATTTCTCAGATGTAGGAACTGGGGCCCCACCTTCTCTTTGTCCTTTGAATCCCCACCCCATGAAAGGAACTAGAACCTTCCAGACCTTCCTGTCCAGGGACTTCCAACCTGGCTCACCTGTTCAGAAGGCTGGAGCAGCCCCGCCGCACCCCTTGCCATCTGCTGCAGGTCGGTGGCCCCTGCAGAGACAGAGCCAGGCCGGGGAGTGAGGGCAGGCCTCTGGCTGGAGACTGTTGCTGTTGTGCAATTCCAGGCTTGGCCCCAAAGGACAGGAATGTCCTAGCCGCAGGCCGGGGACAGCAGGAGGTGGCATCTACAGGCAGTAGCCAGGCCCAGCCTCCCCCCACCTCTGCCAGGGGTGGCTCTGGCCCCTGTGACGCAGGGCTCTGGGAGGACTTTCTGTGCTGGACTCTGGGTGCTGGGTACCCACCCTGCACCCTTGGGGCCCATGGAGCCTACAGTGGGCTAGTGTTGTCTTGCTGCCTGCGCCATGGCCCCCAGTGGTCTGTCACAGGTGTGTGGCCTTCAAGGGAGTTAGTGGCCTGCTGCAGGAACCCCAGCTGAGTCCCAGGATGCTGTGTGACTCTAGGACAGCTGCTGGCCCTCTCTGAGTCTTTATCCTTGACACAGTCAGACAAGCACAACACCCAGCCTGGTATCTGGTGCAAAGAGTGGAGGGGCCATGGCAGGGTTTAAATGCCGCCTTCCCTGGGCTATGTTGCCCAGTATCTGTGCCTCAGTTTCCCCATCTAATGAGATAACACAGACACAAGGTCACCAGGATTACTGCAGGTCTCTCCTGGGCAGTCTGCACAGTTACTCAGTCCCCACCACCTCCTTTGTGCCACTCACCTGGAGATGGGGGAACGGAAGTCCCCGTGGGGTCTGGTGCCGGTCCTGTGTTCTTTGGGGAGCTGTGAGTTTGGGACACCAGGTTCCGGGCAGAGCTGAAGCCAGGCAGGGACCCAAAGAAACTGCTCAGGCTCTGCATGGGGTGGGTGAGCATGGCATGAGTGGACACTGGAGTCACCTTCCCAGGGTCCCTGGCGGGATGGCTCTCTGTTCTTACCTTGCCTTTGGATTTGGGGTGACCCCTGGTCTCATCTCCCGAAGCTGACATGATAGCGACCTGTGGGGCTGTAGGGGGGCAGGAAGTACCACATGGTGGGGGGCCCTCCTGTCTCGTCCCTATCCCAGGCCCCACAGGCACTCCCCCTTCACCCACCTGGAGGCAGCGGTCGCTGGGTGACACAGCTGGAATCACCTGGACCGTGCAAGGTCCCTCAGAGCAGGGCAGCTTCTGGCAGTGCCTCAGCTTCTGGTTCCCAGGCCTTATAGGGTCTGGGGAGGCGCAGGCTTGGCCGGCCCAGGCAGGCCGCCAGAGAGCTGGGGGGGGGGGGGGGAGACGGTGTCACGTGCCTATCTGCCTGGGCCAGTGTGGACCCAACCCAGCACCTTTCCCCTGCTCTCCACCTCGGCCCAAGCTGCCTCTGCCCACAGTGCCTGCCTGCAGGCCCAGTGACTCATGACCAGCTGGGCTCCCTGAGGGGCCTCCTGCTCTCTGCCTCTACTTTCTGAGATGGGGACGCCTGACCAGGCACCAGCTTTGGGTCTCAGTTTCCCCTTCCAGATTCATCGATGGGCTTCCTTGCCTCCCTCCTCCTCTGCTCCTGACTCCCTGGCTCATCACAGGGCCCTCCTCTAACACGTGGGACCCTTGCTTGCCCCAGGGCCTTTGCATAGGCCATGCCCCTGCCTCTACACCTTCCTCTAGATTCCTGCACAGCCTCACCTGTCAGCCTGTTTATATCCCGCGCCCAGGACAATGCCTGGCATACATCAAACACTTAGGAAACATTTGTCTAAATGGGGACAGGTAAAGGTGCATATGAGTTTAAAATGAGGTCATATGTGATCAGTAGTCAACAAATACTACCTTAGCATTATCTGGGCAGAAACAGGGTCTCCAAGAGTGTTTCCTGAGGAGGGCAGTGACATGTCCCTCTACTGAAAGGACTTGGCTGAAATGTAGAGCGGGAGGCACCCTGGGTGTGAGAACCCAACCATGGTGGGCCCAACCTAACCAGTGTGTTAGGTCAGAGGAGGATCGTGGGGCCTCAGGTCCTGAACTCACTGTCTGCCAAGTGGGCCATGGGTGGGGCTGCTGGGCAGAGTGACTGCCACTCCCACCCTGGGCCCTGTCCCAGACTTATACCCCAAGAACAGGGAACCCGACCTTAGTGATGGGGCAATTAACTCTGGCACTGAGCAAGGGGAAGGAGTTCCAGGCAGGGGAGAAGGGGCTGGCACCACTGAGCCATTTCCTTGGAGCCTTGGTTGTGTTGGGAGTCAGTTCTGGAACAAAAGTGGGTGCTTCTGCCGGGCAGTGGTGGCACACACCTTTAATCCCAGCACTCGGGAGGCAGGGGCAGGCGGATCTCTGTGAGTTCGAGGCCAGCCTGGTCTACAGAGTGAGTTCCAGGACAGACTCCAAAGCTACACAGAGAAACCCTGTCTCGAAAAAACAAAACAAAAAAAAGCGTTGCAGCCAGCTCCCTCTTGTGCCACCAGCTAGCACCTGACCGCCCCCACCCCGACCCCCTCACACACAATCCACAAGGCTCTCTGGTAGAGGCAGCATTAGGCCTGGGCGGTTTGGGGGGTGGGGCAGCAGGTTGTGCCTTCTGGACAAGATGGGTGCTGACAGGTGGGCAGAGATGGGGACACTGTTCTGAGAGCACTAGGGAGCTATGGGGTTTCTGGAAGAGAAGCCCAGAAGCACCATCCAAGCAGGGTTCCAAGGAAGCCAAGGGCTGCCCTGACCTCACCATGCTAGCAGTGGTTTCTCATCAATGTGCTGCCCAGACCCAGGAGTTGGGGGCAGCCAAGAATGCGGTGAGAAGCCAGGAGGGCCCTGTGGGACCCATCCCGGCCTTTGCCTTGTTTCTGTCTCCCACAACCCTTCCCCAGAGCAGGCTGTCTCCTGCGGATCCAGGGAGAAGAGAGGCCACCCCATGGCATCCCCACCACCACCTCCTTCCTCTTCTGCTTCCAAGAGGTTCCAAGAACTGATTTATATTGCAGTAAGAGTGCTTAGGTGTACTGAGGGGGCAACCGTAGCCTAAGCTCATCCATGCTGTAAGAAATGCTCTGGTCCTGAACGCTGGCTGGAAACTCCATCCTCACACCCTTAAAACCCACAGCAATTGAGTGTCAAGACCCACCTCAGACCACACCATACATGTTTATTCATGTTCACCATACATGAACAGCAAAACAAGTGAGTCTCTGGCCCAACAGAGCTGGCTGGACATCCTGGAGGCACATAAGCCAAACGCATTTGCTTTAAGGGCATCTGAGCCCCTGGAGCAGATGCCGTGGGACACCATGTTTTCCTCGGAGCCCAGAGCCGCCTTAAAAAAAAAAAAAAAAACCGACAGTTTTGCTAAGGCAGCTCAAGCTGGCCTCAAATCTCAATCCTCCTGCCTTAACCTCTCAAGTGCTGGCATGATAGCTGTTTGCCAACTTTGGAGGTGGGGACAGGATCACAGGAAAGAGTAGCTTGCTTGGGGTCCACAGCCCGCTGGGGTGAGTGCGATCATGTGACCACCAGGGGGCAGCAGGGCCCTGGGTGGTCAGAAGTCCAGCTCCGGCATCAGCCTGTGTTTAGCCGGGCTGCTCCGGGGCTCGGCCGGTACCGGCGGGTCTGCGTGCTCGGCTTCCCAGGCCCTCTGTTGGGCCGGCCAGTCCATGTGCGCCCAGCGCGGATCAGGGGCGCCCACCACCTCGTCCACGCAGGCAGCCAAGTCGGCCAGGGGTTCCGGCCGCTCCACCAGGATTGGGGCAAAAGGACCCACGAGCCAGGGCAGGGGCACCGCCCGCAGTACCAAGTCCAGCAGCTCGTCCACGCAGGCGTGTGCACGGGCCACGCGTCCCCGGCCCTCGGCCAGAGCTGCGGGCGCCACGTCCCTCAGGCAGCGGGCGTCGGCGAAGGCAACCTGCAGGGCGTCCACGCTGCGCTGCACCTCAGCCACCTTGGCCCGGGCACCGGGCGGCAGGCCCCGCACACAGCCTGCCAGCGCGTCCACAGCGCTCTGCAGCTCCAGGGTCAGGCTGCGAGACAGGGCTAGGGTCTCCAGCTCCGCCTGCAAAGGGTCCATCCTCAGTTTCCCCATATATCTAATTCAGGGTTCTCAACCTGTGGGTCACAACCCTGTGAGTGTAGAAAGGTCTTTTCATAGAGGTCCTGTATTAGATATTTACATCAAGATTCATTCATAACAGGGGCTGGAGAGATGGCTCAGAGGTTAAGAGCACTGGCTGCTCTTCCAGAGATCCTGAGTTCAATTCCCAGCAACCACATGATGGCTCACAACCATCTATAATTCAATCTGGTGCCCTCTTCTGGCATTTAGGCAGAACACTGAATACATAATAAATAAATCTTTTTTTTTTTTTAAGATAACAGCAAAATTACAGCTATGAAGTAGCAATGAAATAATTTTATGGTGGGGAGTCACCATAGCATGTATAGAACAGCTGATTTAATGGAAGCTTTGGCCTGCTTCAGTTTCCCCATGAAATCCAATGTGAGGGCCTTGGCTTGCCTCAGTTTCCCCTGTGGACAACAATGGGGGGGGTACAGATCTGCCGTACTTCACCTCAAGGATGCAAAAGAAAATATGTGCCCTGCCTCAGTTTCCCTCATGAACACCCAACCTGGTGACTGAGAGCACTTGAGCCAGGATCCCTGTCTCGTGTCCAGGGTGGCTCCCGCCTTCCCCGTGGCCCCTCACCTGGCTGTGGCGGCGCCCATTCTCTGGCCATGGACTCCAGTCCTCCCACAGCTCCTGCACCTTTGGGGGATGGGGAGTGGGGGTGGGGCTCACCCCGCTCTGCATACGGTGAATCTGCGGGACAGGGACACTGGGAGTCAGGCTGGAGGTCTTGGGGTGAGTGGGCCCACCTAGCCTGCAGCCAGCCTCTAGCAGCCATTAATGAGCATCATCTGAATGCAGCCAGCCTTGCGTTCTGTTGGCCAACCATCCCTTCTCCCCTCTGCTCCTCTTGTTGCTCACTGTCACCACCCTGTCCACAGGGGGTCCCTGCCTCTCCCGTCTGAAGACGGTGACAGGTATAGTGTGGTATGTCAGTATTCAGTATTCAGCCAGGAAAAGGGGGAAACTGATGACAGTTCCACTGTGGGTGGCCCCTGAGATGAGGCTCGGTGGGTGACAAGACAGGACACACAGCACAGATCTGCCCCGGCCTCACACCCACAGAGACAGGGAGCGGGAGGGTGGGAAGTGGGGTGTGGATGGAGATGGAATTAGTACTGAGCAGGGACAGAGCCTCACTGTGGGGAGATGATGGGTGGTGGGGAGGGCCGCATGGCTTCCTGGGTGCTGGGATGACGAGGCCTGAGCCACCACGCCGCAGCAATACCATAATGCGGGTGTTTTAAAATGAGGCGATAGATAATGCAAGATCCTGTGTCCCCACACAACTGTGGGCCGGCACACAGTGACCTTTCTCAATAAGCATTTAGTAACCTGACTATGTACAAACTATCCCATTGGCCCCTGCAGGCGGGGCTGTGGACAGGCCAGCCATACAGTAGATGCTCAACAGCCGCATGTGGGAAGAGCTGGGGCACAGCTCAGTGCTGAGCACCTTCTCAGCATGTGTGAGGCCGGACAAAGGCCCTGAGGCAGGGTGGAGCCTGGTGGGAGGCTGTGGGAGGCAGGATGGGAGGACAGAGACTGTGCTCACAGGTGCCCTCTGGTGTGTCCGTTGTGGGGATGACTGACTGGGCGAGGTGAGGACTGAATCCTGTGTGGGGGGTGTGTGTGTGCGCGTGTGCATGTGTCTGTGTCTATATGTGAAGAAGCAGGTGGGCCGGCCAAGGGCTTTGAAGACGAGGCCTCTGTTAGCAGTGAGGGGAAGGAGGGAGTCGGGGTGAAGGCTGAGGTGTGATCTGGGACCTATGGTGATGTGTCCCGATGGGGTCTCTTCCTGAGTCCACTAGACTCAGATCCCTGAGAGCCCCGCCCCCAACCCTCAGCCGGAACCCGCCCCATCCCAAAGGGAACCCCCACCCATCAGAAGCCCCCACCCCCCAGGCCTCTGACTACCGACCCCTCGTTGCTCACCAGCTCCAGGGTCTCCTGCAGCTGGGCCAGCGTGTCCTGGGTGCGGTGTTTGCTCTGCCTCAGTTTCCCCAAAGAGTGTTCATAGGCCAGATGGCGGAGGCGTGCCGACAGGGATCCCAGACGCACAAAGTAGCCCTGTTGCCGCCTCTGCTC